ATTTATTTTTAAAAATAAAATTATTATTTTAGTTCATCATATATTCATCAAAATGTAACCATATATTAAATCTTAAATTTTAAAATAACGTTATTTTATAATTTAATAGATTTTAATTAATACAAATATTTTTTTCAATGTAGTTACAGCAAGATTCATTCAATGCTAGTAAAGAATGTGATCGTTGGAGGAAAATGCAAACAGATTCAATAGAAAAATTAGGAAGAATGAATGCTGAACATGAAGTAAAAATGTTATTTTTTTGAATAAAATGAAAGTGAATATATATGTACAGTACAGTTTAGTTTAGTTTATATATATCAATAATAAAATAAAAAACTTAATCACAACATCAATATAAATTATTAACAATTAAAACTAATAATTTTTTCTGTAAGATTTTAGTAGAAATTTAATTTTAAGTTGATTTTAATGAATGACAGAAGTATGACTAATAGTTTTAAGATAGAGACAAGCAGCAGTAAACATGCTTCCAAATTAATTTTGTGATTTAAAAACGATACAATGAATATTATTCTAATACTTCAATTAAAATGTCAGAATTTTCTATCATTGATGTAAATGTAACTTTTTAATGTTAAACAATATCCAATTATTTTTTTACTCTTACATTGTACTCATATTTATATTTTTGCTAATGTGTGAAATAATTAAAGTACAAAAACATTTATCACTTATATGTTTAATTTATTTTACAAATTCATAAGCTGTAAATATAAACAACACAACAAAAACCTGATACATTATATTAAAACACCAACATCCGTATGACATCGGACTAAATATTAGATGGCACCTAATACCTCCCTCTTGGTCAAATTTATTAGTAATTTATTATTATTATAGCCGTTTTTAGCCCAATGCCATATGGCAGTTGTTGGTCTTTTGGTATAATGTATCAGGTTTTCATTTTATTGTTTATATTTGTATATATATGCCTTGCTGGGTTTGCAATGGCCAGCTGAATTGGGGATGCATTCAGCACCCTTGTCCTGTAAACTCCCACATATGGCATTTAGCCATATGTGGGAGTTTACAGGACAAGGGTGCTGAATGCATCCCCAATTGTCACTGTAATAACTGATGATGGTTATATTTTATTGTTATATATACTGGAAAAGGAGATTGGACGAGAGGTCTGGGTAGTGTAATTGGCAATGCATCCACACGGTAAGCAGAGTTGTGGGTTTGAGTCCTGCTCCAGGTCGATTCTTTTCTCCAGTTTAATCTGAAGTTATTTAATTAAATTATAATTATTAAATTTAATACGAGATGGCATCTAACATCTCCTTCTTGGGGTCAAATTTATTAGTAAATTATTATTATTGTGTTGGGTTTAGTGGGTAATACTCGGTTTAAACCGGTGGCTGTGTACTATGCCGGACCAGAGTCAAGGCATAGCAACCAAAACAAATTAAATAAGTGTGTCAGTGTCTGTATTCAGGAATTTCCTAACAATATGACATGTATTCAATATAGTGGCCTTCTGTAGTGTGATGTATGTATTTCTATTCAATTGTAATGTTCCCAGGCTTTTGTGTAGTGTGTGTGGTATCACACCTGTACAGGAGAGAACAACAGGTACAATAAGCACCCTATCCATCCTCCACAGATGCCTTATTTCCTGGGCGAGTTCTGTGTACTTGCTAATTTTTTCAGTGCATGTGTTTTGTACATTGTGAGTGTTTGGAATGGCTATGTCTATAATGTATGTGATTTTATTGTGTTTGTCAATGAGTGTGATGTCTGGTCTGTTGTGGTAAATTGTTTTATCTGTGATTATGGCTCTGTCGTAATACATTTTGTGCGTGTTATTTTCCAATACTGTCTGTGGAATATACTTGTAGTATGGTTCGTGGATGTCTGCCAATTTGTGTTTCTTTGCAAGCTCTTGGTGTATTATATTTGCTACTTGATTGTGTCTATGTAAGTAATCTGTCTGTGCCAAGAGCTTGCAACCAGAAGTGATGTGTTGTATAGTTTCTGGCATGATGTGACATTTTCTGCATGTGTCATTTGTGAGTGTTGTATCTTTGAGTATGTGTTTTCTGTAGTTTTTAGTATTTATGACCTGATCCTGTATGGCAATCATGAATCCTTCCGTCTCCCCAAAGAGGCATCCCCGATCTAACCAGCTGTTTGACGCAGTTTTGTCAACAAAATCCTGGGCCAGGTCGTAAGGATGCCTGCCATGGAGAGCCTTTTGAGCCCATGATTGCTTAATGTTGTCTATGCTTTTTATATGTTGTGTCATGTCTGTATGTTGTGAGTGTAAGTTTAATGGTGTGTTATTTGAGTCTGCTAGAGTTACTGCTTTATGTTTATTATTATTATTATAGCTGTTTTTTTAACCCTTTATTGTAAGCTGTAATACCTAAATTCAACAAAATGGCAATTTGTGTAAAGATAAAATAATTTTACAATAATTATTGCTAAATAAGAACCAATAAATTATTTAACAAGAAATAATAAAAATACAGAGAATTCTGTAAATTTTTCTGATTTCAGTATCTTTGAGTTGAACTGATTTAGTATGCAATATTCATTTACCATTTATTCTTCTGACTATAATAGTTATATTTTCGTTACCATTTACATGTGAATATGAATATGAATATGGTGATGATATTGAATTTTCATATTTATAATTTTTTAAATTATTAATAAAGAATAATTTCTTTTGCAGCAATATGTAGAAGCTGTTTCAAAAAGAAATGATTTGCTAATTAAGTTTTGTGAAGATTTAAACATTTTTATTGATGCTTCATTAAAAGAAAATCTACCAGAATATGAAGTTACATCTGCTCTTCAGAAAGTGAAGTTAAAGATAAAAGAGGAAGAAGATAATTTACAGTCTATAAAAGTAAACAATTTATTCAAATATTTGTTTTCTGTATATTATAATGAAAGATATGATAAATTCTGTTTGATTGTTGGATATTTAATATAAAACAAAATTAACTTAAAAAATAACAATTTCGGAAAATGAAGGTATTATTAAGTTCTTATTTTATTGTGGGCAATCTTTCTCTCAATGCTTTTAGAATTATCAGTTAAATTGAAAATTAATTTTAATACTTAAAATGTTTACAAGAGAGTGACTTTTGCATTCACAGTATCTAATCCAAATTATATAATAAATTAATTAATTTTTAGGCTTAAATTAACTCAGAAAGATTTGATAATATTTGGCAATTTGTTTGGTTTAAAAATTTTAGGCTAAAATGGTTTACGTGATCTCTCTCTCTCAATTATGCTATTATGATTTCTGACTTTTAAATCTCAGTAATTGCAATGAAAATAGCATAATCAAAAACTTTTTTAGTTAGAAATTTATTTCATATTTATTTAGTACAAGAATCCAAACAGAATCATCAATAATCAGTTGTAAGGCCAAGAACCACACTTGCGTGAAATTGTGTGGCAGAAAACTGAATCAGAAATCAGCTTTTGGTTCAGTTTCTGTTTTATGCTTTTATGCCAGAACACAGATACATAAAAATTCTGGCTGAACAGAAAATGCCACTGTCACTAACAGTGCTAATTTTATTAATTTTTTTTTTCTTTCATATATCTATCTCTTTGTACCTTCTATTTTTTCTCCACTGCTTGTGCTATAATTTAGAAAATTTAAATTTATAGCCTTGTATTCTGAATTGAAATAAAGAATGTTTGATCTAAATACTATATATCAATTCTGCTGGACCTACCTGTTATTTGAAATTTTGCACCTACAGTCGTCCATAAACATTGCTTAAGTACAGCGTTTTTATACATGACACTGATGTGGTTGAATGGATTCAATAAATTCTTCTATTTCATTTATTTTTCATTTTTTGGAGACCATCACAATTGTAGGACTAACTGCCATTGCTGCCATTATTAGGATAAAAACCATGTGTTTACTTTGACATCACAAAAAAGATTTCTCTTTATTGGAGGAATTTTGGCATAAAAATTCTATGCGTTTAAAAAGTAGACATACTCAGTGGTGATATTCAAAATATTTAACAAAGGGTTCTCTAACAGAAAATTTTTCCTTAACAATTTTTTTTCGCTCAAATGGTGCATTAGCAACATTAGCGCAAAAACTGACCTTAAGATAACCATATAAATAAAAAAGATGCGTTCGCAAAATTAAGTCAGTTAAGATTTAACATTGTTTATGGCAGAACTATATTTTTTTGATAAATATTAAAAAAAAGTGTTCAAAATGGTTTATTTTGTATATACAGTATTTTAATATTTTTCATTCAAAATATTTTATAAACATAAAAATTGGCTTTTTCTCAAGAAAAAACTTTTCTAAATCATTTATTTTATCATTAGGTATTATTATAATAATAGACAGATGTCATCGTTTCTCGAAATACAATATCTTTTTTATTCCGCTGTCGATAGCCGGACACGTGTTTCGCAGCCATCTTGTATTTTCTTGCGCGTGTGGGATTGTGGGATCTCTCTTATGA